TTTACTTAACTTCCGTCCAGGGGACGGGTACTCCAGCTAGTACGAAATATTGTACAGAGATATAAAAACAAATCAGATTTTCTACACGTGTATACATTCATGGCGGTAGAAAAATACGTAGGTTTAAAAAAATCAGTTAAATATTAAAAAAAAAACTATACCCCGAGTGTTTTCGAAAGGTAGGCCTTTTTTATCAAGGTCAAATTTGGAATATTTTTCCTGATGAAAGATCTCAGTTTATATGGTTTCTTATTATTGACTACAAGAACACAACTTTTATAAATAGCCAGAGAAGAATGGATTCAATACTGACGTAATAAAGAGGGGGGGGGGACTTAATGAAAAAGAAGTTCACATCCTTGTGGCAGAAGCTGAAACATACATTTTGATTTTACGACAAAATAAAAATCCAGTTAATTGTGCAATTTATGAAATTCGTAAAAGTCATAAAAGGTAATGAAATATCAAAAGCAAAAATAGGGAGTTACAATAATATGAACCAATTAGGAAGCAGTATAAACAGCCAATGGACTGTAGACTTTAGCGTTCATTTTATCGATAAGTTGGAAATAAAAGTTTATTTTAGGCAACGGTTTATCATCCCACCTTTCGTTATACAAAACGTGATAATTTCATATACAGTTTAAAAAGGCTATAAATAAGGAGAACAAAAAAAATATTTATGGGTAAAGAAAATGAAGCAGTTTTTTTGTGGTCGAACATGCCACTCCGACAGTTCGCATGGGTAATTTAGTTAGGCTTAAAACAATAAGTATTAACCATAGACTCTACTTTCAGTGTGTATCCAATATGTGATCAAACTAGAAGTCATAATATGAAAAAGTTTTTAAAGTGCGGAACATTGAAACCTGTTATATTACCAATATTACACTACGTGCTATCGACGATATTTTTTGATTGAACAATTAATTTATTTTTGCTGTTGTTATGCTATATATATGAATAAAAAAGTAAAACTTACAAGACTGTGTATCACATAATTTGTACAAAGTTGCTACCCCCAGAAAGTAGAAAGTTTATTTTTGACTTGTCATTTTGTGGCATATTAAGATGTGAAATATACATGAAGCAATTTTTCTTATATTCTATATCATAAAGACACATATATGGTCTATCGCTTAATCTTACAGAACTAACACAAAAATGGCTTAATTATTGATG